CCTTGTCTTTTACAATGAACAAAGAGCTCAATATATGACTTCATACGTGTTTGTCATCAGTTAGTGTGGTAGGCATGTTGCGTGAGGAGAGCAGATGATATCACGACACTGTATAGGAAAATATTAATAGAGGTGCTCATTAACATATTTTTCAGACAGAACAAACTTGACTTTAAAGCTTTCTCATTTGATCCAAACGTCAGGTACCTTTTTCGAGTCCAGTACTATACTAGTCTTCTCTTTGTGAGATCCATGCTCAGGTCATCTGGTCATGTGTTTGCCCATTTAACATTGAATGTAGACTTACTACATGCCTGGCAGTATTGCTGCGTGCTGGGTCAGCACAGACTTAAGACTCATCATCAAGCAGATTTCAATGACCAACAGAAAACACAATCTTACTCATGTGTTTGTGTGTATGTGTGGGTGCTGCACGTGCCATAGAGACACAGCAGGCCCGTGGACATCAGAGGATGCCTTAAGCAGCCAGTCCTCGCTGCTCTCCACTGTCTTTTGTCTTTGCCGCCCTGCTGCATTCATTCTCCAGGCTATCTCACCTGTAAGCTTTTAGACAGTTCTCGTGTTTCCCATAGTGCTGAGACTACGCATATGTCCCTAGAGTCTGAGCTCAGCTTGTCAGGCTCGTGTGGCTAGCAGTTTTACCCACTGAGCTCTCTCCAGCCTCATCTACCCCTCCCAAAGCAAATAAAGGCCAAAAAGAAGACATTTCCACATGGCATAAGAAGTCTAAGAATTATTCCCGGTTTCCTGCCTCCCCCTTCAGTGTGGTCCCATACATGGTGGGTTTTAGACTTGGATGAAGGTTTTGGTTTTTTCGTTTATTTTATTTATTTATTTATTTATTTATTTATTTATTTATTTATTTTTATAGCTATGAGACGTGTAGTAGTTCATTGAAGGGGAGTTGCAGAGGGGATTGAGGTCTGCCTCACCTCTCCTTTGGTTGCTCCAAGAGGGCAAGAAGGGAAACAAAGGTGAGGTCCCCAGTGGGACCTTTGTCGGAGCATGCTCTCTTGGTTGAATGAAGGTCAGGGAGACTAAGGGCTGCCAGTCTTTCCCTGTGGGACCTTCCATATGCTAAATCTGGGGTGTCCTCCCTCACTGTTTTTCTACCTCTGTTTCTGCTGAGAACTGTGGTCCCCAGTAGTAGAGAGTAGGGGGTCAGTCAGTCATTCTTCCATGCTGACAGTGGGAAGAGTTCCCACCTAAGAGGCCATCAGACTCTCCCGGTTTTATCTAATGCACTTGGCCAGGCCCTTTGGGGTTGTTTTAAGATGTGGCATCCAAGTGTTTAGCTTTTTTATTACATCTGTGTCTCAGAGTTCCAGCGACTTCCTTCTCTTGGTCTGTGGACTCTGGGTACACACCACTGCACCTGGCTTAGCGTGTCCTCTTTCTTTGGAGAGCCAATTCTCTTACCAGTCCCAATGGGCTTTGTAAGGAAGAAGGGTGGTCCTTCCATGCGTCCTGGGTCATGTGTGTTCATGTCATGTGTGTTCATACAGTCTTTCCCCACGCATGTCTGCTAGTGTTCATGTATGGTTGCCATTTCTGGGACACCACAAACGTAGACAGGCTGTCCCAGTTGCAGTCTCCTCCCCTTGAAAGGCTTAGATAAAGGGGCACCCAGTCCTTGCTACAGAGTCTCTTTTCTGTGACTTTTCACGCCATGTGGACAATGTCCCACAAGACACTTGTTTTCAGAGGACCCTGCTCTGAACTATCTGACAAGAGGTTTAATCTCTAGGTTTTAATCTGTGTTGTGAGTCCTCCCACCTCTCAACTTGAAAATTGTCTGACCTTTTAATATTCTCTCTCTCTCTCTCTCTCTCTCTCTCTCTCTCCTCTGTCTCTGTCTGTCTGCCTGTCTCTTTGTGGTGCTGGGGATTGAACCTAGGGTCTTGTTCATGCTAGACAGCATTCTACCACTGAACTATATTCTCAGCCTCCTTTGTGCCTCTGTGTTTATATATCTACACGGGTTTTACTAAGTTACCTGAGGCTGGTGGAGGCCAGAAGAGGGCACCAGTTCACCTGGAGCTGAGTTATAGGTGGTTATGAGCTGCCATGTGGATGCTGAGAATTGAGCCCCAGTCCTAGAAGAGTAGGAAAATACTCTTAACCACTGAGCAATTTCTTTAGCCTCTGTCCTTTGTCTTTTTGAGACATATCTCTCATCGGCCTTGAACTCACCAAGTAGCTAGGCTGGCTGGCCACAGAGCACCAGGGATCCCCCAGTCTACCACCCAGCACTGATAAGTTTATGCCACCCAGCTTGGCTTTATTATTATTATTTAACATGTGGGGATTGAACTCAGGTCCTCATATTTCCAATGCAAACACATTGCTAGCTGATTTATCTCCCTCACCTGGCACATGGGTTTCACTAAGTTACCTGGCCTTGAGCTCATCTGTAGCCCAAGCAGATCCTCCTCCTGTGATCCTCCTGCCTCAGCTTCCTGAGTAATTGGAATGACAGGCCTATGCTGTCAGCTCTAGCCCATTGTCTAATGTGGACCACATGAGGCCAGCTTTGAGCATGGTAGAATTTTAAAGATGAATCTTATTTTATAGTACAGAAATTCAAAAATCATAATTACTTCATCGAGGGTGGCTCCTAACCCTCCATTAATCATCCTCCTCACAAAGAAATGGAATTCTATTTTAGTCTCCAACAGATAAATTAGTATATAGTGGAAAAGGGAATTTGACTTTTGTGAGGAATTAAACGCTACGATGGAATTAACACAAACATTCACCTTGATGTGTCTGTGCCTGGTACAGCAGAGACTTCAGTGCAAATGTGGCTATGTCTCACTCTAGTGACCGTAAGATCTGCCATGAGTGTGCACTGTACACCAGCAGTAATAATAATGGCTTCAGGCCACCTTCATGGCTGTTTACTATATGTAAAGAGCCACGATAAACATCTTATATAGATTAAGAAAAAACAAACAAAAGGAAGCCACCCAACAGGTGTAGTGGGGATGCACCTGTCACCCCAATGCCCAGGAAGCAGAGACAAGAGAGTCAGAAGCATTGCTTAGGGAGACTCTTTCAAAACCAGAAATGACCCCATAACCTGTGATGCTCAGAGAGGTCAAGTGACTTTCCCTGGGTCACACAGCTCTTGGGTGGGTGGAACCTGGGACTCACTTCTGACCACAAGCCATGAGCCATTAGCCCACCACACACGTATGTCCGTCAGTAAGTTTCCAGTCTTTATCCGGGTTTCCTTGTTTTGGGATGGAAAACACTACTTTTTGATCCTCATACACCGTAATTTCAGTTATTATAATTTTGATCTTTTACTTTTAAAAGCCCAATTGGGTTTGCACCCGAGTTAATGGACGTGCACATGGGCTGTGAGGTGGTGCTTTCAATCTAATAAGCTCAGGTTTAAAGTGTTAAAGCCGGTAGCTTCAGACTCCAGCAGGGAAGGTGCTCCCGAGAGAGCCTGGAGTGTTAGATCATTCCCTGCTAGTGCACATTTTACATTTTTGATCTTCTCTTTGCCACCTCACCTCAGTGCACCTGAAGCTTGAGAATGTTCTTTTGCATTTCCCAGAAGCAGCCAGCCCTGAGCATTCTTCTCTCTCTCTCTCTCTCTCTCTCTCTCTCTCTCTCTCTCCCACATACCTCCATCATTCCAGTTACTTCTCCGCACTGCTCTGGCTACTGTCCTTGGGGAAGCTTGGAAACAGCCAGATTCTTGTGAGCATGTAGGCTGAAGACATACTTGCTGCTGCTCATTTACCAGCATAGAACTTTGCCCGGAAAATAAGAGGTTAAGAGAGAAGTCTGGACCGTGAAGGGCTGTGACAACTGTCCTAGGGGGAGCTCTAGCGAGCCCTGGTGGGCAGTGACTCATGCTGCTCTGTCACTCAGATCAGCACTGGCCCCTGCCACACAGGCGGCCAGGTGGGGTTACAGCCAGGGCTAGCACCAAGGAATGGGGAGCATGCAGCCTGCACTGCGGGGGATGTGATGCCGGCTCGCCAACTTCCCCCTGCCTGGTCCACTGCGGACGCTCTAGCCTGCAACCATGGTAACACTTCTGGCTGGAAATGCCCCCGGGAGCCCCCTACGATGGGCAGCCTCCTGGTGACAGAAGGACAGCCACTCACATCCTTGAGTGAGAGAGCCTAGTAGGTCAGCAGGCAGCAGAGAAGATGTGATGCCCCCTCACGCTGTAAGGAGGTAGGAGCCCTGCCGCAGATGTGCATCTGTGGGTCTCTGCATTCCCCCATTGGTGCTGGGTGCTGTAAATCACTGCAACTTTATTTGGCTGGTTTTGATTATGCCGATTGAACTGCAGTGGATTCAATGAGCAGGATTGTGCTGGGGAGGAGAGATAACGAACTGAAAAAAGTGGTTAATAAGATCTCGAAGTGGACTCATGGCCATGAATGAACCAGACTGCAGTGGTTCCAATGGCATTTCCACACCCCACCCCCCCCCCCCCCCCGGCCTGTTCTCGCTTCTCATTCTGCCTAAGTCATGAGACGTAGATGTATTCCATCCAACAGCGATGGATATCACTAACTATTAATCATTTAGACCTGTCTGGAAGAGGGGCTCAATGGGTTTAGGTCATTTGGCACCCTGGCATTAGCCAGCTGACATGCAGTGGAAACCTTCTGGAAATATCAGGCAGGAGCTGCCTGCTCAGGTGAGTTGCCCAAGTGCTTCTGTAGGAACCCAGTGACCTGTTTGAGTCTATCTTTCACTTTACCCCCTGCCCGGGAAGGCAAGCTGTCTGCGGGTTGGTGGCCATGTTGGCAGTGAAGGGGTTAATCTCTTGTTGCTGTAGGAGCTGAGGCTGGGTCTGCCTGCGCTAGGAGCTGGGTTGAAAGCAGGCGCTGCAGTGCTGTCTCCAACGCTGAAGGAGTAAGGCGCTTTTTTTTTTTTCTCTCCGCAACAGTGTGGAATTCGTCTGAATTTTTCTCTCCCCCCCCTCTTGTTTTTCTTTTAACCAGCTCCTCCCCCCTTCGTTCCCACCCTCAAGTCTGATGATGACACCTCCAATTTTGATGAACCAGAGAAGAATTCGTGGGTTTCATCCTCTCCGTGCCAGCTGAGCCCCTCGGGTTTCTCAGGCGAAGAACTGCCGTTTGTGGGCTTTTCATACAGCAAGGCACTAGGGCTTCTTGGTAGATCTGAGTAAGTGACAGTGTGACTTTCTGGGGGACTTGCATGGATGCCTGGCACACAGAGCCAAAGGTGGCGGTGGTTGGTACTGGTGGTGGTGGTGGTGGGAGGGTGGGGGAGTGCAGAGGAGGGAAGCCTCTGAGCTGCCTGCCTTTGGAAAGCACTCTACCTGTTTGGGGCTTGTGGGGCTAGACTGCCAATGTTCTGTTTTGCATGGTGTGTTAGGTACCTGTTCCTTCCTTTCTGTGGCATTCTAATGGCCAACTGGGTACTTTGGGTTAGTTTTTCCCATCTTTGGTCTTCTTTAGAGGGAGGAGAGGGTGAGAGATTTCTAGCTGTGCAGTTCCTCTGTCAAAGGGGAAACTGTCTGAGTTAAACTGAGCTGTCCATCCATCCGTGTACCCATCTCAGGAGGACAGATGGCTGGTATCTTGGCTGTACTGAAAGGATCTTAAACACGGTATCTCACAAGCCAAAGGTTTCCCGATGGGTTTAACTGAGCTGCAAGTGGCTGAACCAGAGCTCTAGCTGAGAGATGATGCTCGGCTCCTGTCCAAGTATGCTGCAAGATCAGAGATCTGGCAGCCAAGCCAGCCGTTCTGAGCAGGGAGAGCACTGGCGGCCAGAGGAAGCCCCATTCCTGTGAGCCCCCAGGAGGGAGTGTGATGCAGCCACTGCCACCAATTCACAGAAATTGGGCTTTACAAGAGGGTGGGAAAAAACAAACCCTAAACAAACTAAGAGACTAGAATTAGAAATAGAAATATTCTAGTAAACCTCTTGCCCTGGGAATCATTTTCTAGTCCTATAGGAAGCATTTAGAAGATGTGGCAGCCCAGGGCTTGTTTGGAGGGTCCTGCTTTCCAGAATCTTAGAATTTATGTAAAATGTAGTCGCCTGGGATGTGGGAGCTTGGTGACATTCTGTTTTCCGGGGACCAAGTTCGCCTAGGAAGGTCTCAGACCAGCTATGTTGTTCCCCAGATTCCCTGGCACCCTCACGCTGAGGCTCTTAGGGCAATGTTGGGTAACTAGTTGCTGTCTACCTATGAGAAGAACACATTTTTATTTGAAAAAAAAAATTCTCATTGACAGTTGATTCATACCTGTTTGTTGTATTTGTAGCTTAGATATTGATTTGAAGGGCTATAGTATTGGTTCCTGGATGGTGTTCACCCCACAGGTACAATTTTGAGGTTCTTCAAAAGCTACCAGATTTTCTACAGGGAATTGCAGTCAGGAGAGTGTGGGCTGTTCTTGATTATTGACAGGGGATTTTACAATGAAAGATGCTAAGGTGGGCTTCCTTTATTACCTTGCCTGAGGTCCGGGTTTAAAATCCAGGTGATGTTATGTTAGTATTATTAGATGTGCCTTTCTTGCCTGTCTGTTCCACCACCCAAGGCAGCCTGGAGGATGGTAAGAGAGGTGAAAATCTAACTAGCTTGTTGAATGTGGCATCAGACAGATTTGCAGTGGCCTAAGCCGGGCGAGGAGGTTTGGCGTCAGTATTGAGGATCCAGGAAGGAGTAGAGGCCCACTGGTGAAGGATGCATAGTTAGTGGGCAGAGTAACCTTGACACAATCAGCACACTGAAGGTCACAGATCCGAACTGGGAGGAGATATGCGGGGAGTTGCTGGTCTGGTTCCTAATGGGCTGGATGTGTTGAGAGAAAGCTTTCTGAGGGTGTTGATCAGTGATCTGAAATAGCCTGGGAGGCCTTGGGGGAGTCAGGTCTCGGGACAAAGAGGTGGGGATGATGTGAGGGAGACCGGGCACCGCAGTTAATCTAAAGCAGAGTGTGATTAATTGCTTGCTGTTCAGGGAGACTCTAATTGCTGCTTTCTGCTTCTCAGAAAGCGGAGTAAAGGGACATCTCAGCTTTAGGGCCCAGGCACCAGATAAATACCCCCCCCCCAATGTGTTTGTGTTGCTTTCTGAATTTGAATGTTTGTGGTTTCACCTTTGGCTGTCCAAAAAATCTTTCTCTAATGCATCAACTGAGTGAGCTTCCATTTGTGCCCCAACAGAACATTTAATAAGATCCTCATAAAATTTTATAAAATTCCCTTTAACAAAGTCATGCATTTGTTATCTGGAAGATATAACTGGAGGCGTCTTATCTTTGGGGAACTTGATGCTTTTTCCATGACAATTTTGGGGCTGGAATTAGCAGCTTTTCCTCCGTCTTGAGTCTTGCTCTGTGGCACTGCTGTTGGACCTGACTACTTTGCCAGTGGTGGCTCAGTAGGTGAAACCCATAGCCACATTTTCAAACTCCTATCCACCTGTTGGTTGTAGGTAACCCGGGCATGTTGTCTGTAGTTGACCCTGGGCATATTGGATCGTAGTTAATTGGGAAGCCAATCAAAGAGACCCAGAGAAGAATTGCTCAGCAGTTCCTGCAGTTTCATAGATGTGCAGTCAAAGGAATCATTGCAGGAGGGTTGTGTCTGGGGTACCACCTTTGCCCTGCAGTGACCTCAGCTCTCTCCCTGAGTTTCCCTTCTCCTGCTTCTCGTCTTCAGCATCACAGGTTTTTATTTACATGGCTGTTACTCACTCTTCACACCACCGAGGAAGAAACTGCAGATGCTAGCTCATGCCACGCTAGGAAATTGACCCCAGATTTGTTACCAGTGAACAGAGTGAAACATTTGAGCAAGGACTTCACAGAGACTGTGGCAGTGAGAACGATTCACATTGCTGTGTTGTGGTCCTTCCTCACATTTTAGAATCTTTCTTCTTTTGCAGGGGACCCCAGGCTATTTTTAAGCCAGCCATTGAGTGCATCGTTAATTTTAGGTTTAGCAAGAAGCCCAGTCTCAGCATGTTGATGAATGAGGTGTAGGGGGTGTTCCTTGCTGCCCAAGTTGAGAGCATGGGAAGCTTGGTGAGAACCAGATTTATTTGGTTGGTTGTTTTGTTGAAGTTAGCTTTGGAGAGAAAGCATCCACACCTGTGACGCTATTCATGTCCTCCCACCCCCACCCCCATGTGGTGCTGGACATTGAACTGAGGGCCTTGTCCAGGCTAAGCAAGCACTCTGCCTTGGTGACCACTGAGCTACCTTCCCAGCCCAACTCTTTACCTTTTCGCTTAACAAGAGCCTGAACCCAACTCCCATGCTTTGAATCCCTGAGCCCCCATTTGCCTAAACTTTACAATAGGGTAGAAACAGAAATCGTTAAGTGGAAGGTTTGAAAATGCATGGCTCCCAGCATCCCCCTTCTGTTGTCAGTATGGGGTGAGTGTCTTCACGACCTTCCTTCTTCCTGGACTAAAGCATTGCCTCATTATCTCTGGCCAAGTCAGAACATTCCTGCTTGGCAATGTGATCTTGATGATGTTTCTAGTTTCTGGGTAAGCCATCTTAGGAAGGGTGTTCTCTCTTCCTTTTGTCTCTGGACACTTTTCTTGGAGAGGATCTGGAGATACAAGGATCTGCTCATCCCTTCAGACACGGTAGAGGAATGAAGACTGTCTGACACCATTCGTCCTCCCTGATTTCAGATGGCCGGTTTTCAGTGCCTCTTCCTTTTGTGATTGGCAGTTCTTTGCATAGTAGTTTCCTCAAGGGTAACATGGTAACCAGGGATGACTTTCCAAAGGGCTTCTAGGAGGATGGAACAAAACATATGAAGCATTGACTCTAATACCCGGCACATGAAAAGATCTTAGTAAATGTCTACTGTTCTGTTTCTTGCTATTTCTAACATACTGGTCTATATTTACATAGAGCTCTTCCATATGTGCTAAGAGGCCGTGGAAGGGACTCGGCAGTAATCAGGGAGTTCTGAGTCAGCCAGACCCAAACTCAGCTCTCCAGGCGTTGGGGGTTTTTCTTCTGGGAATGCTTAAATACTCAAGCCAACTACAAGACTACGTTCTGTCATCAAGAGGTGTTCTTTGTGGAGGAGTAGATTAGAGGACAGAAGGCACCCTCCCATTGCGTTGACTAGTCCAAGCTGATTTTCTGAAATAGTTCATAGGACTGAGCAGGTAGACGCCTTAGCTGAGGAACAGTGGGGTGAATAAGCAAGTCTCGAGAGAGCACTGAAGGAGGAAGCCAACTCTGCTTTCTTGCTAAACCAATGGTGATGATCCTTCTTGGAATGCCCATTCATTCCCCCATGCAGGCTGGGTCTGCAGGGCAGACTGGGTCATCTCAGTGGTCCTCGTCCCAGATACCGGAAGACATGACCAGCCCTCACTGAATATGCATGCTGGAGTGAGCTCACCCATATACTGACGGAGGGTGAGTGTTAGGGGTTAGCTCTGTAAAAGACAGTGGGTTTGGGTCAGCGGAGAAGAAGGCGGAGAGAGCTCCACAGTGCACAGGGTTAACTACAGCCTTGCACAGGGTGATCAGCTCTGTACTAAGTATGGCAGATGAACTCACTCCAGCAAAATGGCAGCCGAAAGGAAGGGACAGTCACTGTTGTCCCCCTCTGCATGTGCGGAAACTGAGGCATGGAGATTGTGAACGTGTCCAAGGTCCTCCAGTCTAGACCGTGTGGGGCTTCAGTGTGTCTTGACCACTGCGCTGTGGTGCTGTGCCATGTATATGTCCCAGGTGTGAGAAGTTAGGAAATACTTGTAGGGTGCCCAAGAAGTAGATACCATCCTTGGGAATGAAGAGCCATGAGATTGGGACAGGTGTAAAGAGAGATGACAAGCTGGTCATAATATTGCTTTTGGTTTTTGCTTTGATGGGTTTATTGAGTAGGTTGGTTAGTGTATAGGTCTCAGGCATCTCATTGAGAGATACTTAACCTGGGATGTGAGTGTGTGTATGTGTGCACTCATGTATGTGTCTCTCTCTATTTGTGCATGTGTGAGTGTGCGTGCACTTCTAACCATTCACATTCTGACTTGCTAGAGAGAAGTTCATTGAAGACAGGGAACAGCACTGACCCTGGTCTTCAGGCTGATTGTTCATAAGCTGCACAATAAATAATCCCAGAGGTTGATCCAAGTCATCCCCACTGCTCCTCTTCTGTAATAGTGT